AATATATATATATATATATATATATATATATATATATATGGTATATATACAATGAAACATTAGTCAAATACCTAAAAAGATGAAATTTTAACATTTGCAGCAAAGGGAAAGGCAATAATGGGAAGTGAGGTAAGTCAGGAGAAAGACAAGTATTGGATAACTTCACCTATGTGTATAAAGAAACAAAGCTGTGCATGGACAAAATAAATAAAAATAAGCCCACAGATGTCGACAGTAGAACTGAGGTTACCAGGGAGTTATGGGTGGGATGGGAGCAAGGGTGGAGGGGGATTAATGGATGGTAGAGTGTGTTTTGCTTTACTAAAAGAGCAGATCATTCAGGGACTTAGATGGCCTTAGTGATTCCCACCACATGGGAACAGCTATACTTCCACGGGTTCCCTAACCAAGTCTGCAAGGCCACAGCATTCCCAGAGCAGTAAATTCTGTCCCGTTCTCAGTCAGGGGTGCTCTGGATTCCTCTCAGGTACATTTCAAACTCATACGCACTATGCCCACCAAGCTCCCCATTAGGCTTGATTTTTTCTGTCCTGTATGGAAATCATCTCTTACACTTTTCCTTAGAAAGTATTGGTTATTAAATACATGGATGTCATCATTTTTAATGGAAAAATGACAAAAGATTTTAGCAATCTGTTTAACAGCAGGAAACCTCCCCTATCTCTCCTCTTCAGCACTGACGTGCCGCACACACTCCCTGGGAATTTATCTTTGGGAATTTAATTTAAACATAATAGTTGTATGTGAACAAGCACGGTGATTTAGGGCAGTAAGAATCACCAAATAATTCTGTATAGTGTGTCATAATTATTCTCATTAGAAGTACATTCAAGAACGGGAGTTCTTTCTGACAATTAACCAAATTGCTAATCTCTCTACAGATAGGTTGATTGATTTTTAACAGCAAATCTTATAGGCACGGGGAAGCACTGTTCTATGATCATTTAGCGTGAAAGGGAATAGCTGTGGCTCAGTAAAACAGACAACAGGAAAATACAGACGTTCAACTATTTAGCTACATAGGAAATATTTTGAATGGATGAGAGAAAACTCAGAGAGTATCTGCCAGTTACAGAAGCAGTCTGTAGCCTAAATGAATTTGTGCACATACATCCATTCCCTCATCTATAAACATTTGATTTTTGCTTTGTACAACAGTTTTATTTACTGTTTCGTTATTTTATTTAAATGCGCAACTACATCAGTTTTCAATAACTCAACTCACTTGCAAAGTTTCCCAGATACATGAAAGCAAAAGTCTTCATTTGGATTATACTGCAACCTTGAGAAAAATTCTACCAACCTGGATTCCCTACATCCTGCCCTGAGAACACACCTGGATTCTCAAATGATGCAAGAGAATCTATTTACATTGACTGTTTACTTTTGCCTATTACACTTCAAGCTAGGCTGAGGCTACACAATGGGAATATTACATAAAGGCAGAAAGAGTTTTCATCCTGTTAACTGGGCAGTACTAGCAGGGACTGGCTTTTGTTTGTGTTGCTTACAGCTAAGGTTGGATTATATTCCTCTGAGCTAAGAAATAGTTCGGATTCAAATTGAGATGCCTCCTCCCAGTGCAGAGGAAGTGGGAAAAAGAAGTCATTTACTCAATAGCAGTTGTGTGATTTTCCCAGGGTAGTTGCAACAAAATACCACTAAATAAACAGCCTAACAGCAGACAGTTTACTCTCTTACAGTCTGGGGGTGGGGAAGCCCAACATCAAGGTGTGAGTGTACTCACGGTCCCTCCACAGACTCCCTCCTTGCCTCGTCCTAACTTCTGGGGTTGCTGGCAAAACTTGGCATCCCTTGGCTCCATCGTTTCAGTTTCTGCTTCCACCTTCACTGTATCCTCAGTGGAGGTCTTAGGTGGAGCCCACCCTGACACAATAGGGCCTCATCTCAACTGGATCTCATCTGCTAAGATCCTGTATCCAATGGCTCAAAGGTGGCCAGGAGTAATGGTATCAGGATTAGGACTTGCCTGTGTTCTTGGTAGGGTGCTGGGTTTTGCAACTTTAACTGTGTGTATGTGTGTTTACTGACTGGTTCACTATGGGGCATGTTTCCCTCCCCATCCCCAGCCTGACAGTCTCAGTTCTGCAGTTAAATTTCAAGTTTGTTTTGGCTGGATTTTATTGTTTCCTTTGCTTCGCTTCTTTCTTACCTGTGGAGGATACAGCTTAACCCATAACAGCATTCAAACAGCAAAATGAAACTAACATAGCTAAAAAAAAAAAAAAAATTTCTTCCTCTCTACTGGTCAAAATGAAATCATTATACAAACAACACTTTTTCCTGATGGCAATCCCCTAGCAGGGGAATAGTTATTTGCAGAGTCACCCCCAGGCCTCCATTTAAGCAGGGGACTGTTGATTCCTCATGGTCTGACTGTCTAATCTCTGGGAGTTCCAGATTCCAAAGGAAAGAGGTCGTGAAATCTGTGCTTCTAGGACAATGAAGCCTCTATTTACTGATTTTATTTTTTTTTTTACCACAAGAATTTTTAGTTGCAATACTAAAAATAATAGATATAGCCTTTAGTATATCACTTAACATCTGACATTCCTTAGTGAACATTTCATGTAATTAATAGGGAAAAAAGAAAAACTAAAGAAAAAATGTAATCAAGTAGGTTGACAATGAGCGAAAGATAATTAAAATGATCCTGTTTTGTTTCTATTTCATTAGTATGCAAATTAGATTCATGAAGTTTGATACTATGTTTCACCAAGAGCCACAGAAAGGAATTAAGAATGAAAATGAGTCTCACTGATGGAGGCGCCTGATGAGTATATAAATTAATGAAAAATACAATTTGATCCAATTAATAACATACATTTTTTTGACTTGTTGAATCTCAAAAAATGACATCAACAGTTAAAGTCTGTATTTTTTTCCATGGGCCAAACACTATGAAAGTTTTTTTTTACTGCAATGAAGTCCAGGAAAAGTTAAAACTGTGCCTTGCTTTAAACAACAGGGTACACAATAGAGATCTCATTCTAAATCAGTGTTGTGATAATGGCATTCCTGCTGGAAGGACCATGGGGACTACGGGACTGGCTCTCTTGATGTGGTCAATCAGGGAGTCAGAACTGAAAATGGAGACAGTCCAATGTGACCAAAACTGGTCCAACTCACTGATATTCTCCTAACGTGAGTTGTTGTCTCCAACAACATGACAAACAATTTTTAAAATAAACTTCAATGTAAAACCACAGCAGTGTTAAATCTTTGTGATGTGTACCAGATGGTAAGACATGTACATGTGATCTATGTGTTATATCCCATGTCGAATGTGTTCAAACAACAACATCTAGGGTGATATCAAGGGAGAAAAATTAAAAGGATTGGCTGACATATGGCATGTGACATGGGGATAATGATGAGTGAATCACAGTTTCGATAATATATGATGTAGGTATCTATATTTTTATGGTTGTTAAAAATATTTTCACTGTTAGCACCAAGCCCTTCTCTGCAGAATGTACATGCAGATGGTTACTGCCTTAGTTTATTGCAAAAAAAAAAAAAAAGGAACACAATGCTGCTCTGACTCTCACCGTATTTAAATTCTTCCTTATTTCCACAGCAAGCCATCATTTAATTATCTGCACTTTCCTGTAAGGATAGTCAAGCAATCAAACACACCCTACCTAAGAGAGAGTCAACAATCTGAACTGACTATTCCTGGAAGATCACGAAAGCCTTATTAAATTCCCATTCCTTAGCAGGAGAGAAAGTCACGTCATCCACTCTGAGAATTAAACAAACTGAGGGATTATTACTTTTAAACAACTAGCATCTTTTAAAATTACTTCTTCTTGCAGCCTTCCTTGTTTAACTTGAAACAGAGGGCCAATTAAATTTTCATGGCTCCTGCATACATAATGATTGTATTTTGTTGTCAGGAAGTTTATGCATACGTTACATAAAAACCTCACAGCACTGAAGGAACTCAATTCATGCTGAACTCAATTCGTGCTAAACGGATAACACGGGATTTTGAAATAAGACGCATCTCTTGCTGTGGCAGAACAGTGCTACCTGTCATGCACATCCCATGAGTTTCTGACTAGCTTATTTAGAAAGTTACTTCCTTTCTCAATATACTGCGTGTGATGATTTTATTCTAGGAGGATGGGAAGTTAATAAGATTCATAATAAACCAATCAGCCGGAAGAGCAGACTCACCCTCTCTGCGATTTAGCCTTGCAAATCCAGGGCCATGGCTGCTGGAGAGCTCGGATGAACTGCTGAATGAAGCCGGAGACAAGCCGGACACCAGGGGTGCATCACAGTCATCTGGGAAGAGGAGACAATCCACATTCAGGAAGGCGGGGAGCGGAAAGCATTCTTGGATTTGACACATAAAACCAACCAACCAACTAGATGAAACAAAAAAGCAAGGCTCATGTGCTCCACTGCTGTCATGGCATATTCCCCTGGAACTCTTAGGAGTTCAAGAAGAAAGAAACTTAAAGAGCAGAGAACATGGAAATGGAGAAGGAAAAGTCACAGAGACTATGAAGAGTATCGTAACTAGGAAGGTTTACTTAAGAAATAAAAATTTTGAATCAGCATACCCTGCTTATAAATAAATTTATATAAAAAAGGTTTATAAATTTAACTATAGCGAAATTAACAATGATGTTTGGGTTGCCAGGAGCTACACAAAGTGAAGAAAAACATACTAAAACATAGCAAAATCTAGTACTTAAAAAGTACTTACAGAGCAGTACCAATCAATATTCCAAATTAAGGGAAACAAAGTAAAATAAAATGATCTCTCTATGAGTAAGAAAACTCACTACGAAAAAAGGGCACAAGATCAGAGAATTCACAGAACAAAATCTACGAAAACCGAATCTATATAAACTCATCAGTAAAATGCATTGTAATTTAGGCCTATGACTAGATACCATTTCACTGATGGCAGACAAGTAAGACCTCAGAGAACACCAGCTCATCTATAGAACATGGGCCAAGATACTGCAGGCGGAGAGTAAATTGAAGCAACTACATTTAAAAACAATTAGTTCATGTGTGTGAACTTCTTTATCCCAGGTTCCACCACAACACTCTTAGGCCTGTCCCCCTGGACAGCATTTCTATGACCAACCATTGGTCTTAAGAAACTTTCTCTTCTTACCTCCACATGCTATACAAATCTTAATAGTTGAAGTGTCCTGTAAAAATAAAAAGGTGGAAAGCACCGACCTAGAAAGACTCTTTGTGCCCTAGGAGACCTGCAATTTCTGGTGACATTACTCATACTTAGCAAAAGATGACTGACAATCCAAATAAGCAATGATCAAAGAACACATCTGGAAGTGAGAGTACTTTCCACAGTAGAAGAACAAAGAATAAAAAGGAGATACCCCTCCAAAATAACTGGTTGGAACTCAGGAACAAAATTTTTGGTGAATAGAATTCAAGTTACAGAAGACCATATAGCACTTGTTGATAGTTTTGAGTCTCTAAAAACTAACAAAGGTAAGTAATATGTCCTTTAGGGACATGTAATATTTTTAACGTTTAAAACAAAAAATGAAAAGCATAAATTGGAGGAAGAGAGTGTATGTACACACACATAAGCATGAATATATCAATGTGTAAATAAGAATATATACAAAAGGTCATAACTATAACCTAATCTTTTATGTCTATCACATATAAAGTGAAAAATATAGCATAAAGAGAAAAAATTGTAAGAATATTTTCATATTTACCATACTACTTATATAAATTTCTTTTATTCAGCTATTTCTTCATTCGATATAACCTTTAAAGGATTTATAATGTATTTTATACAATTATTATTGTTTCCATTTTTGCTTTAATCAGAAAAATATTTCTCCCATCCTTTGGACCTAATATGTATTGTAATTAAAACCAGGCAGTTACTGAACCAAGTTTTCAATTAACTATAAGCAACTCAATATCAATTAATCTAGGAATGGTCTAAGTTCATCTGAAATTTTATGAAGTTGTTCTGCTTGAACATCATTTACTTAAAAATAGTCACTAGCAGTTTTGCTGCTTAAATATTCTAACTACAATATTTTTCTGCAGTCCTGCTATTACTTGAAATACATGTTTTTCTCTATAGCTAAATGTTTAAAGTCTGAGTGATAAGTAAAAAATTTGCCAACTTAACACCTGAATGCCTTTAACAAGAATTTACCAAAGATTGACTCATTTTCATTTAAAGTCCACTTTTTCTCCTTTCACGCCATCAATTCTTTAGCTAACTCTTATTTGAGAACTAGCCCAGAGTTCCTGCATGTCTATTGATTGGCTTAAGTACTGACACTGCCAATTTAGTGGTAACTTAAAAGTACGAAGGAGCTAGACACAAAAAGACATACAATCCATGGAATGCTGACAAGAATCCTGATTGCTGCCCAATCTTAAGCAACAACCAAAATGCTTTCGCACAAACCCCACAAACAGGTGCATTAATTATTGGTGGGGGGGAGGGTACATGGTGGGTGTGGGTGCACCAGAGGTACAGTCATTTCTGAATCATTATCAGCACTTGGGTGTCAACATGACAAAAAGAATGTTTAACAGCAACTTACAATCAATTATGCAGATCCAAATCGATGTTTCAGATGTAAAATGCCTCTCAAGAGCAATCTGGAGGGCATATATTTATTGCTCATTTGTTTTTGCCACTATAAGTTGAGAAGCAATATCGTTCTATCTTTAGCTATAAAAGAATGGAATTAAAATGAGAGAAGGGGTGAATTCCATTTGTGGGGAGAGGGAGCTGTGATATGGGAAATGGATGAGGAAGGGGCAGATGGGGAACTTCCTGTCTGGGTAAAGTTCGAGTTGTTGGCCTGAGAAGCGGTGACAGGAAGTTAGTCTACTTCACTGTGAGCAAATACATTTCCCCACAAATGTATTTTGCAATAAAATATTTTAAGTGATTCTTAGATAAAATTTAGAATAATCAACACATTCAGTGATCACTCTGCTGAGAACTTACAGCCATTTCACATAGTTACTAATAGTTAGGACTCCTCTTCGGGGTATTAATTGTTGTTACAAGGAGATCACTGAGACACTGAGGTGGTTAACTCCTTGTTTTCATTGTAGTGTGACATGATATTGACAAAGAAATGAGGTATGTAAGAACAACTGGACTGTATGTATTATTTCTGTAGTTTGGGGTGTAGGGATTCCATCATGCACCAGGACATGCATAAAAAGGCTCTCAGGAAGCTGTGTACTCAATTCCAGATTTGCCATGCTATTTGTTTATTATCAATTTGCTCTTCAATAGTATTGACACAGGGGGTATAGGAGTCTCACATAGCAATAAGTCTGGAATAAAAGAAGTATTTCCCTCCAGACACTCATGAAATGGAATCCCAGATGAACTATCAGTCTCCTGTGAATTTAATTCCAGAAAATAATTTCTCAGAATGCGACAAAAATTCAGGTTCTGGTCTTGAAAAGCTGAGAAACACAACTGGAGTGATGGTGCCCCCCCCCATGGGTCATTTAGCAGTGTGTGGACATACGCTGGGGTGCTACTGGAATCTAAAGGCCAGAGATGCTGATAAACATCCTACCAATGCACAGAGTGGCCCTCCCAGATAGACTTCTCTGGTCTCTAATGTCAACAGTACAGCAGTTGATAAAAAGCAACCTAGTGAGCCACTCCTGGGACTAATTCCTCAATTATCAATAGTACTCTCAGCAGCCCCTCAAATTTCCTTGATTACTCGCTCCATGTAATAGCTTTCTAAAGAGTCTACAGCATTTACAGTATATAAATATATAGGCATTTAAGGAGTTTCAGAAGTCATAAATGATATGCTACTTAAGATCAAAACATTGCTTTTTAATTACTATTATCAGAGCTTCCTGGTCCCTTCTCAGGGACAAGTAAAATATATGTACACACACATACACACACGTATGTATACAGACACACAACAGTATGCATGCATAACACATACATATACTTTATGTGTACAATATTTATACATGGTGTGCATGTGTCGTGATTGTGTGTAAATTGTAGTACATGTGTGCACTGCATGCATGTATAATGTACATGTGGATGTGAACGTGTATATAATATTCATATAAGCTGACTATAAATCTAAGCTAGTGATGAAATCATAAGTGACAGAAAATGATAGCACCCACTTAATGTGTCCTTGTATACATGTTATATACGTCTAAATATGCTGATAATAACAGAATGATTATGTGTACACATATATCACAAGTATATTTATATAAAATGAATGATTTCACTTACATAGACTGCCAAGTCACATAATTCATGAGCCCTTTCCCACTGAGGAAATAAATGTGCAAACAAATACCGTCTATATATGCACTAGTATACATGTATCTATGCTATATCATACACACACATACCTCATAAGCTCTCTCCTATCTACCTGTTACACACAGTCTCACAAACACATTACACACCCACACATACACACCACATGTATACAGGGGCATACAAGTGTGATTTCACTTACATAGCAGACCCTTGCACCAGGCCAGCTAGTGTCCAGGTGAGCAGCTCCGCAGCAGCTGCCTAGCATGACTAGGGTGGAGGGGGAGCCTGGGGCCGGACCCGCAACCCCCTCTCCGCACCAAAACAATGAGCAGCTGATACTGAGGCCTCATTGCACCCCATTCTCCCAGAGCGAAGCTGCGTTCTCCCTGCTTGCGACCCATTGCTGGCACGTGGGCACCTCCCACGATTCGGGTTCTGTTCTGTGGTATCTAGCCCCCCCGGGGCTCCTTCATGTTCAGCTTTTGCTTCCGCAGCAGGGAGGACATAGCTGCCAGGGCCCCTCACACTCCTGGCACTTACCAAGAAGGATTCTCAAGTGCAGGAGTAGGACGGGGATTCTCCGCAGCCTGCTCCAACTTTCAGCTGGGCCGCTTGAATCATGGGACCTTCCCCTTCTCCCCCACGACCCTGTTGGTGCTTCTGTAAACTCCTACCTACCTTCATGTGACACCCACACGCTGTTGGATAGTGTTCTACCGTGACTATTCCCAGCACCACAGCTCCCGCCTCCTCCCAGGGATGGCAAGGGACTGCTGGGTATGAGACCACGCTGCATGCTGGGATTCAGCCCTTCGCCCCGCCCCGCCCCGCCCCGCCCCCACCCAGCTTGGTCCAGCAAAGCCAGTGGCAGTGGAACCCAGAGCACAGAAGAACATGAAGATGCCAGTCACTAGAGCAGTTTGAAAATTAAACCTCCGGGAGGAAGGTTTGTGCAATGCAAATGAATAGCAAAGTATGTTTGGGCCAT